GTGAGGGGAGAAATGTGGGAACGCGGGGCGGACGCAGCGTGAGGAGGGGGAGGCGGTGGGGACGACTTGCGTGGGGGCCACCCGGGCTTCGGACTCCCGTCACGGCCCCCCGCGTGGCCTCGGCGCCTCACCGTCCCTCGCGGGTCCCCTCTGAAGTCAGAACCCGAGACCCGGCCCGGCCGGGAGGAAACACCTGTCCTCACCTCCCGGAGGTGTCCCTCAGGACCGCTGCAGGACAGAGTTCCCCACCTCAGCAGACCCCAGACGTTCCCCCGGGAACCCCGTGACACACTCCTGACGCGGACGATGCGTGGCCGCGCGTCACGGGGTGGACCTGCCCCTGAGGGCTGTTCCAGGGCCGGGTCCCCGGTGGGCGTGGGGTCGCACCTGGACACCACCGCACGCGGTCTCCGGGGCTGAAGTCCTCGCACGTGAAAGCATAGCTCTTCCCTCTGTATCAGGTGCTGGATTCCGGGTAGCCTTTGCGATTTGTGATGACAATAGAGCCAATTCGTGCTGAAATAGGGCCATTTTCCTAAGGGGTCCTGGCCTTTTCATGGTATGTGAGGTGCTTGAAAGGTTTGGAAACCCTTAGTTTCCAGGGGGCTAGGGCGCTCCTGACAGCCTTGATTTCTGGTCCTCACACCTAAAGTGTTTTGGCTGTGTTAGGCTGAGTGGACTCCCCCTAATGCACCTTTATCTTTCTTGGCTGCTCTTCCCACTGTGACCTTTCTAGTGAAATGATGGAATTAGGGCTGAGAACATCAAAACCCCAGGTTGTCGAACTGCCATGGGGGTTTGGACCATATTTTTCTTAGGCATATGAATATCTAAGTAGGGAGTATTTAATTTTGGCAAACTTGGAGGAAAAATATAGTTGTTTCTTCAAGCTTTGCCCTACCTCCCCTTTCAGCATTTCTTAACCAACTCTAATCTTTAAAAGGTGGAATTTCAGAGGTAAAAAGCTCTTGGAGGAGGTATTTGTAAAAGTTGCCTGATTTGACAGGATATTTCTTCTACATCCATAGAAGGAAGACTTATGCACTGGAAAAGGGAAAGAAGGGATGGGTCAAGAAAACAATGTGGGATGCATAGGATGGGAAGCATAGTTTTCTGACAGGTGGTGGCAGCATTTTGACAACACTTGATAGCTTTGGCCTTGCTGGCCCAAGTTATTATTTCATCCGTTTCTCCCCAGTTGGTAGAACGCTACTTAAGATTTGATTAAAATCATAGAAAAGCATTCAGTTACAATGCTAATGAAGTGTAGGAATAGGACAAATATTTTGAAACTTGCAGAGAGGGAAGACCACTTTGGTTTACCTGGGCTGGAATCTTTGTATTTGAATACTTAAAAAAAAAAAAAAATTCAAGTGTATGCTATTTTAAAGGAACTTCTTTTTACAATGGCTGTATAAAGACCTTCTAGAGAGACATTTATATGAAAATTACAGTGCATGCTGACATCTTCTACCCATGTCTTTTAAGTGCTACTTCCCTCTCTGTTCACAGAAACTGTGGGTGCCACCATTTTATGTTGTAGTGTGAAGTTAAAAAAAAAAAAAAATCCCCAAACACGTATCATTTGTTAGCTCTGTGTTTCCCCCTGGTGGTATCCTACTTCTACAAAACATACCCAAACTAAAATCCTCCCTTTAATATAGTATTCTTTAGCGTGTTGAAAACATAAATCAGAGAGGTGTAGATAAAGTGTCAGTCTGCTTTCTCCAAATTTGGTCCACTCTTCCGTTCATTTTTTTTTTCACTCTTCTTTTCAAATGCCCTAAATCTTAACACCCAAAGGAAGATTAGCCCTCAAGTCTGATCAATTTAGAGTATCTATTTAGAAGAACATCAATTTGGAGGAGCTCTATAGAAGGATTCCCTTTTACTTGGAGCATTATTCTTAAAGTTGGCTTGGTCTTTAAGAATCAATGGGGAGCACATTTTTAAAATGAAATTGAGGAACTTCATCTGAAACCGATTGAAGTCTAATTTCCAGGGGATCCACTTGTGAATTTTATTTTTATCTTCTCCAAGGCATTCTTATTGATGGGAGAAGTTAGGGAATTGGAGAACTACAGATTGCATAAGTGCTGCTTCAGTAGACCAGGTGATTAATGAGAGGGAATTTGTGAGTGAAAGAGCTATGGAGCAATAAGAGCTGTAAAGTGCATTGGAAGAAACTAAGCTTTGTGTGTACCTTTCTTGCCAGATATACCTGTTTCTAAGGTGGTGATCAAATACATGATATCCCAAGCCCACATGCCTTTTGAGGTAAGTCAGATTTTCTCTTAAAGACTGTCTTTCAAGAGTACCGGGATCACATAAGCAGAAAATTTGTACATGTACAGAGCTGCAAGATTGTGGAAAGGCAGATTGGATATTGTGTTCAACCTAGCAATGCCTGAAAAAGATCGATATCAAAGTTAAAATTACTGTTCTCCTGAGGTAGCTGCTTGAAAAACAATAGAACATAAGAGTTTGATCCCATGTAATTTGTGAAAATCTGAGTAATTCCCAGTCCTTAAATTGTTAATGTTTGTATAAGTGTTAATACTTTAAAAGCCTTTCTACATGTTGATTTACAGTATAGCTTCAGTTATTTGTAATATCCAGGGAGAAGGCCTAAGTTAGTTTAATGCTTGCAAAGTGGAATATATGTAACTTTGTGTGACGTTTATTTTGAAATTCAAATACAGTAACTGCTAACAGAGATTTTGTATTTTTTAAATCTTACTGAGATAGCTTTAATGAATAAATATAATTGACTTGTAATTCTCAATATTCATGTGCATATAGTCTGTGGATACAACAAAAACCAAAATACCATGCACTCAGTAGGCCTTCCATAAAAGCCACTTAATCTGTGATATTAGTGATAAAATATTCTTCTCTGAAAAATCACTTGTAAGTTGAACAATTTTTGTAGGTTTTATTAAGTTGAATTAACATATGTAAGCTTCAAATTAGCTCATTTTGCACACACAAGGCCCTGGGTTCAGTCTCCTGTAGTCCCTACCCCTGAAAAATCAGCACATTTCAATTACATGTTTATCCTTTAATAATCAATATTCCACACGGAAAGTAATTTAGAGAACACCCTCCAATACAGTTGGCCTTCAGTAAACATGGGCTGTTCATGTTTCCAAGTAAATTCATAAGTTTATAAATTTATTTAAGTAAATTAACAAATTCATAAATAAATTCATAAATTTATTTTAGTAAATTAATAAATTCCATGTAATGTAGGACTTCAGGCATAATTCATGTCTACAACCTTTTTGGTACATATCCCTAACTTACGGCCAATTCTAGTAAACAGTGGTGGCATGTCATTTCTAAGGATGAAGGATCAGAACTTGGTGACTTCAACTTTGTCAATATGTTAGCCCTTTGAACTTTTTGTGTGTATGAGCAATTATCTCACAAATTGAAAGTGAACCAGAAAAATATAAAACCATACGATCAAATTTGCAGGTAGATAAACTTCTGAGGCTTTGTAGTTATAAAAATACACTATTCTAAGCTTACTATGTTCATTATTTGTATGACAGGAAGATCATAAACTTCTGGGGAACTGATTGCTGAATTCTAGCAATTGGCTTGATATAATTTATGATAATCACATATGACACTTCTATATACTTAAGGTGTTCTGAGCCACATGTTGATCTTCTGTCTCAGTGTCATATAAAACAAAATGAACTTTTTAAATGGAAGATAGATTGTTGTATACCACATTTCCCCCTTCTTTCCCATGACGGCCTTAGTGAAATGGCAATCCCTGTTAATCATCTATCTGTGGTAATGCCTGTAAATTTTTTTCTCAGGGGAAACAACACTAAGAGTAGTTTTCATAATTTAATAATATACAAACACTTCTCCTTAAAGACTGAATTCTGTCCTTGTGACTAGGTCATTAAATGAATTGGTTGCTAAATGAAGAATTGTATATAGTATGTACATTACAATATTCAGAACAGAGAAATGGTCAAAGGATCTCCAACAACTTGGTGACTTGGTATTTTATTTGCATAACTCTTACAGGCAGTACTGTAATATATAACAGAACGAAGAACTATAGTACTGTACAGTACAACCAGCAGAAATTACACATCACAGAAATTATTCAAAGTGTACTGTGCAAAAATAGAAATTGAGGCTCTATCATCAAGATATATATATATATATAACTGTAGCAAAAAAAGAAAAAAAGACAGTTGTAAGTTTGAGCAGTAGGTTGTAAGTCTGAAAAATGAGCCTTGGTCATAAGTCCAAACAGGTAGGTTGTTAAATTGTTTGCAAACAGAACTGTATTTGTTTGCTTTGAAAGGGCTTCCACCTGCCCGGTAATCTTACAAATATAGATATTGTTCATTTAATTACCTACCTGTTTAACAGTTGTTTGGACTTATGACACATCTTTTTTTGTTCAGTCTGTACATCTTTTATTTATTTATTTTTTTTTTTGGAGTCTGTACATCTTTTAGATAGAATCTCAATGTCTTTTTTTGTACAGTATGCTTTGGTTATAGGGTATTGTAATTTTTGCTGATTATACTATGCAGAACTGTAGTTTTATATTTTGTATATTACAGTATTGCATGTAAGAGTTATGCAAATAAAAGCAAGGTCACCAAATTGCAGTTCCTTTGACTTTTTCTTTGTTCTAAATATTGTACTGTATATACTATATACAATTCCTCATTTAGTGACCAATTCATTTAACAACCTAGTTGCACGAATGGAACGCTATCCTTAAATGAGGAATGCCTATAAAATTCAGTTTTCCTTTTAATCTAACTTCTAGCCTTGTTTTTGGAAATACTAATAAAAAAAACTTTAACAAAGAAAAAGGTTAAAGCAGGAGAATAAATTAAACATCAACAAAATGAAGCTTCTGCTTTTTACTATGAAGTCTTTTGAGGTATTTTTAAGTAAAAGAAAAGGCTTATATAGTATTTCTATAATACACATTTTACTGTCCTCTTTGTATATGACTAAAATTGTTAAATTGTTCTTATAATTCCTTTATGGTGGCTACAATTCTTATTAAAACAGAAGAGATAGAAGATGTGAACTCAAACAGCCAATTTTCTCTACTTGCAATCTATAAGAATTTTCATCCAAGGACAAAGCAGGTAAGTAATCATTGTTTTTAATGCTTTGGGTGCTATATATGTTGCCATATTTTGTTAATCCTAATTCTAGATCATTGGTTTTATTTAACTAAGATACAATAAGGATTGTTTGTAATATGGAAAATTCTGTAATTTTTAATTCCACAAGTCTCACTTCCAATATTTGAGAAGCTTGTATGAAGAACTACATTCAATTATATATTAACTATTAAAAAATTTATCAGAAACAACAAAGTACTGTAAGCTGGTTAAATCTAAGTCTGGTTTTTGTAGTTTCAAAAATGATATGAATCAATTTATAAAGAGTTTTTTTTAAAGTTTTGGAAAGTAGCAGTCTGGAGAAAAAACCCAAATTGTTGTGCCTAGAAAATCGAGGTCTCACAGTGACCACACCGCATACTGCAAGTGGGTGGAATGCTGTCCTCTGGGGTTAGTGCTGCCCTTTTCCAAGATGTACAGGGGGAAAGCAGTTAGAGGAACTGAGATTAGAGGTTGATGACTTTGAAATTAAGTACTTTAAGATCAGACTTTCTTACCATCTCATTCTAGATCTTCCAAGTAATGATCATCTATCTGCCAAGAATAGATTGTATACCCATTTAACCTTCTAACCTTATGATACTATGGACCTAATGATACCATGGTTAATTTTGGAAAGCAAATGGTGATTTATACCTAGGGCAATAGCTAACATGCATTTCTGATGATAGAAAATAAACACAGAAATTGACTTTAAGAGTATTATGGAATACCATTATGAGCACAAAAATAGCCATGTGTTTTACTCAGTTGTTGGCCTTGTGACTATCATTTGCATATTTAATATTTCTAGTTCATGTAATAATCTCCAAATACATGTACATTAACATTGACAGAGATTGAATTGTGTACCCTTAATGAATCACCTCTACCAAGACAACAATGGGATGAAAAACTTAAAGAATATAGTGTTCAGATAGAATTGTTCAGGCTGGTTCTCTGAAATGTGGATGGAGATTTCACACAATGAAAAGTGGCCCAGAGTGTGGTAAACTGAAAGTAGAATTCGGGAGTAAGGACAGAGCTATTCCTCCCTTCTGTCTACTGAGTCAGAGAAAGAGGAGAAAATAAGGATGAAACATAATAATATCTGAGGAATTTAACTGGATTTTCATTAGAGTGAAGTGTTAACAAAGGAACAGCCAGGTGTGCTGGTTCACACCTGTAATCCTGGCACTCAGGTGGCTGAGGCAGGAGAATCACCATGAGTTCAAAGCCGGTCTGGGCTACATCATGATTTTACATTGCCAGACTCCATCTCAAACAAACAAACAAACAAACCAAACAACAAAAAACAATGGTACCTCCATTTATGAACCTAATTTGTTTTAAGATTTTGTGAAAGGTGGCTGTGTTTGTGGTTGTGTGGGGAAGGTGGCTGTGGCCATGACTGTCACCCAATATGGAGTTTGTGAATGAAAACAAAATTTTGCCAAACACTTTTGTTTGCAAACCGAATTGCTTGCAAATGGAAGGATTCATGAACTGAGGTATTACTGTAAGTTAAGATAAGAAGAGTTTATCCTCCTATAGACTTTCTAGTAGATATGATTGAGGATTGGGACAGAGGGAGGAAGATGATTGAGGAAGAAGCTGAGGAGTTGAGTGTGGATGAGGGAAGGTCAAATGCAAAAGAGACTTGAGTTTGTGAGTAAGCAAATAAAACACATGAAAGAAACATTTGTGTAGGAGAGAAAATAGATGCAGGTTAGAGGATATTCAGGATCCTTAAGATGGAATGTCTTAACATTGACACAATTGGCCCACCATGCACCAGCTGCAGATGCCCACCCCCAGACGTGTCTGAATCATTCAAACATGGAGAAACCCCTGGGAATACATGCCATACAACAGGTCACTCTTGCTCCTGCCACT